GCAACACGTTTCCAAAATCTTGCAAACTTCTTGTGAAAACATGTCATTGAAAAAAAAAAAAAAAAACAGTTACAATACTAATGAGTTTTTATTGAAAATGCTGTTAAATTTTGGTAATAAAAGCAAAAATAGAAAAAAAAGTGGTACTAAACAGGAACTAACAAGTTATTTGTGTTTTTTCTTTTTGACCAGGGTAAATATTACTTGGTTGAAATTGCAAGTCAAGGTAGTTGTCGTCCGTAATATTTGTGCAAATACTTTTAAGCTATTACAACGAAACTTCAGATGATAAGTAGGTGTAAAGAAAATAAGGACCATTTGTGGAAGTCTTTTTCAATGCTTGTTAAAAAGTCAAGAATTCCCCTGAAGAAAAAGATGGAATGAAAATCCAAATCTCATTAAATTGAAAATAAACTAGCCTTTAAATAGACTTTACAAGATAACTTTATCTAAAAAGATAACTAACCAATCTTATATAATTTAATTTAAATTATAACAACCTAAAACAAATAAATAACTTAAACTTCCTAAATTATGGAGATAATGACTAAATAATATGATCTAATTTCCAACAATCCCTCCCTTAAATTGAAAGTCTTCAAACTTTAGTTTAAAGAAATCTTGATAACACCATGTCTGCAATCTGGAATCTACAAACCCTCCCTCAAACTAAATTCTGCATGCTGCAAACACCAAGTAACTCTCTTAGTTTGAAAAAGTTGCTACTTTGAGGGGTTTTGTAAATATATCAGCTACTTCATCTTCTGTTCTGCAATAAGTCAACTCAATTGTTCCATCTTCTACCAAGTTGCACAAGAAATGATACCTCACATGTATATGCTTGCTTGTCCCATGCAGAACTGGATTTCTAGAAAGCTTGATAGTTGAACTGTTATCACAATAAATTGAAGTGGCCGCATGTTGATTCAACGCAAGTTCTTCTAGAACTCTTCTCAACCAAATAGCTTGACAAGCACAAAAAGTTGCTGCCACATACTTTGCTTCTGTTGTGGAAAAAGTCACAATGGGCTGCTTCTTTGAAGACCACGAAACTGCCCCAGATCCCAACATAAGAACATACCCAAAAGTGGTTTTTCTATCATCCAATTTTCCAGCATAAACACTAGCTGTAAAGCATGCGAGATCTGTTTGGTCACCCTTCTTGTAGAATAGTCCAAAATCTACAGTTCCACATAAATACCTGAGAATTCTTTTAGTAGTCTACAAGTGCAACTCCTTTGGATTCTCCATATATCTGCTAATCAAACTTACACCATACATTATGTCTGGTCTTGTTGCTGTGAGATACATCAAACTTCCAACAATCTGCTTATACAGTTTGCTATCCATAAATCTGCCTCCTGGATCTTTCATGAGCTTTACACCTTTGTCAACTGGTGTAATGACAGAATTGCAGTTCTTCATTTGAAATATGTCCAGAACTTCCTACACATTTTTTTTCTGACAAACACAAATTTCAGAATCTGACTATACTACTTCCAGACCAAGAAAATAATGCAACAAACCCAGATCTGTCAGATCAACCTCAAGCTTCATGGATTGCATGAACTTTTCCAACATGCCAAGATCATTCCCAGTATAAATTAAATCATCAACATATAAGCATACTATAATCAATTTACCTCCATCTCCAAATTTGATATAAAGTGTACACTCATAAAGGCACTTCTGAAAACCTTCCCTTAAGAAATAAGCATCAATTTGACCGTACCAAGCTCTAGGTGCTTATTTTAGTCCATATAATGCTTTCTTTAATATGTAAACCTTATGCTCAAAACCAGATTTCACATAACTAAAAGGTTGATCAATAAATACTTGTTCTTACAAATTTCCATGCAAGAAGGCCGATTGCACATCAAACTGGTAGATAAGCCATGAGTTCTATGCTGCCAATGCAATCACTAATCTAATGGTGTCCATCCTTGCAACTGGAGCAAAAACTTCTTGATAATCAATGTCAAACTATTGCTTGTAACCCTTTGCCACCAACCGAGCTTCGAATTTGTCAAACTCCCCATTTTCTTTGAGCTTTGTCTTATAGATCCACTTAACACCAATAGTCTTGTGCCCTTCTGGAAGATCTGTCAACTCCTAAGTCTAGTTCCTGTCAATAGAACCAATTTCTTTTGCCATGGCTTTTTGCCACTTTTCTTCTTTAACAGCTTCTTCATATGTCAATGGATCACAATCTGCAAATAGAGCAAAATGAGTAATTGGAACATCATCTTAAGGTATATCTGTTACCTCATAATCCTCCAACCATGCTGGTCTTCTCTTTTTGCGTTGAGGTTGTGAACTAGTTCCAAATTCCAATTTTGGTGTTGTTGGCAGACTTCCTCCAGTACTGAGCTCTATGTCTGCAGGCAGACTTTCTTCAACTGTCTGTCTTGAAACTTTGAGATCTGCTAAAGTTAAACCTCTAGTCTGCTGTGTCTGACCTTCTGAGTTCTACATAGTCAGATCTTCTTCATTTTCGAAATCTACAGGAATTTGTCACCTTGATTTTTCTGTCTAAGACTAGGTGCTTGCTTCATCAAACACTACAACACGGCTAATGATGACCTTCTTGGTTAAAGGATTGTATAATCTATAAGCTTTGGACTTATCACTAACACCAAGGAAAATACACTTTTCCCCTTTGTCATCAAGCTTACTTCTTTTCTGATCTAGCACATGTGCATATGCTATGCACCCAAAAATTTTGAAGTAATCAACAGTAGGTCTACATCCACTCTAAGCCTCTTCTGGCGTCATCCCTGGAAATGGAGATGTGGGACTTCTGTTCAAGATATGAACACTCCAATTAACAGCTTTTGGCCAAAACTCCTTAAGTAAGCCACTCTTTGAAATCAGACTTCGCACCATATTCATGATTGTGCGATTCCTCCTCTCACATACACCATTCTGCTAAGGTGTACAAAATGTTGTAAGTTGTCTTTTAATGCCATTGGATTCACAAAAATCTGCAAATTCCTTTAAGTTAAACTCACCACCACAATCTGTACGCAGAACCTTTACAGATCTGGTAGCCTCATTCTCAGCCAGGACTTTGAAATTTTAAAGGCTACTAAGGCTTTTGACTTGGTCTGCAAAACATACACCCACGTTTTGTGACTGTAATCATCAACAAAGGTAATAAAGTATTGTTTACCTCCATTGGATGTTGGATTTATGGGTCCACATAGATCAGAACGAACCAGATCTAGCACTCACTTTGCTATCAAAGATCTATCTTTAGGAAAGCTATCATGATGTTGCTTACTGACCACATAGATTTCACAAATTTTTGAAGGAGAATCAAAATGAGGAAGACCATTTACCATCTTCTGTTGCAAAGCTTTCAACCCATCAAAATAAAGATGTCCATATCAGTAATGCCATAACCAAGTTGTGTCCTTCAATCTGGCATATAAACATGACGGATTTGTGGTTTGCAAGTATAATCAAAACAACCTATTTCCCATCATCTTGACCTTTGCAATCAAGCGAAACTTTGAATCATGAACTTGGCAAACTCCATCTTTAATCGGGATTTCATATCCTTTCTCCTGAAGCTGTCCTAGACTAAGCAAATTCGACTTCAAATCTAGTACATACAGAACATTAGCAATAGTTTGAATTGAATTGTCTTTGGCACGAATGGTTACCTTTCCCTTTCCCTTGACTACAGTAGTGGAATTATCACCAAATTTCACCTTATCTTGAAAAAACTCATCCAGATCTGAAAACGCAGATTTGTCTCAACACATGTGGTTGATGCAACCAGTATCCAGATACCACACATTCTTCTTGCTAACTTCTTTAGGATGATAGACCATAAATAAAGAGGCATCGTCATTTCTCTCATTGTGTTTTGCAAAGTTAGAACTTTCTCCTCTATTTAGATTGGTTAAATACCCTTTTTGGTCCCTCTACTATAGAAAAAAGCCCTTTTTTAGTCCCTGTACCGAAAAAATTCCCTTTTTAGTCCTTATTGTTCACAAATCCGACCCCTTTTTAGTCCTTCCGTTAAATTTTAGCTGATGTGGCAGGTTAATTAACGAAAAATTTTATTTTTTTCTTTACTTAAATTACGTGGAAAATCCATTCGGCAAAACTCGATGACATGGCCAAATTTTTTTTCTTTAATCACCAATTTACCCTCATCTTCTTCCTCCATCCTCTCCTTCATTCAGCCTTTTTTTTCTTTTTTTTCTTACCTTCAGGCGAACCTAGGAGCCTGGGTTCGTCGCGAACCCAAAAGCCTGGGTTCGTCGCGATGAACCTAGCTCGTCGGAACATAATTTGCCTGAAGGTAAGAAAAAAAAGAAAAAAGAGTAAATACAGTAAATAAAAAGAAAATGCAGAACTCTTCCCAAGCATGAATTTTGGATTAAAGCCTCCTCTTCTCCTCCCGACTTCCTCCGCGATGTCTTGATTCTTGTCGGAGATCAAAGCCGGTGAACCTGATGCTAGGAGCACACCATTTCACGCCACAAAATCTAAGATGATGAGAACCGTCAACAACAGCGTCGAGACCGTGAACGCCGCCGCTACTGCTATCATCTCTGCTGAGTCTCGAGTCCAGCCAGCCATAGTTCAGGTAAACATGACTGTGCATGAATGTTAATCTATTTCGTGTGTGAGAGTCTCAGTGTGAAGGTTTGGCTTTTGGTCAAATTATGTTTGTGAGTTTGGTATCTTTGATTGGTTGCCGAGAAAATGATGGAAATCGAACGAATTTGGAATTTTTGAGGTTTTTTATGCTTTGCTTGAGGTCGAGAATCATGAAGAGAATTAGAAGAAGAGAAAGTGGAATCTTTTGATGTTGGAACGCCTAGTTCAGTAATTCTTCTCAAATGGTTGTGGTTTCGGTATTAAACTTTTTGGTTTTGTCTTTCTGTTCTTTATATACCCTGTTTGGTTGCTGAGAAATGGTGCAGATGGAAAGTACAGAATGGATCTCAAGTTTTCTGTTAGTTGACACTTGAGTCTTGCCAGACAAGTCTGTAAGCTGAAACTTGCTGAACAGAAAAAGGGGAATGAAAAGTGTTTAATTGTGAAATCAAGAACACTACAATTCACTTTTTCTTCAAAAAGATTTTTAAGGAACAGATTGGGGTCTAAAAAGTAACGTATCCAAGAATTATTGCTCATTTAATCACTTTTCTTGACTTTCCTCCCTTCCCCATCTTTTTATAATCATATCTGCGACGAGAATCAAGACATCGCGGAGGAAGTCAGGAGGAGAAGAGGAGGCTTTAATCCAAAATTCATGCTTGGGAAGAGTTCTGCATTTTCTTTTTATTTACTGTATTTACTCTTTTTTCTTTTTTTTCATCGCGATGAACCCAGGCTTTTGGGTTCACGACAAACCCACGAGCTGGGTTCATCGCGACGAACCCAGGCTCCTAGGTTCACCTGAAGGAAAGAAAAAAAAGAAAAAAAAAAAGGCTGAAGGAAAGAGAGGATGGAGGAAAAAGATGAGGGTAAATTGGTGATTAAAGAAAAAAAATTTGGCCATTTCATCGAGTTTTGCCGGATGGATTTTCCACGTAATTTAAGTAAAGAAAAAAATAAAATTTTTCGTTAATTAACCTGCCACATCAACTAAAATTTAACGGAAGGACTAAAAAGGGGGCCGGATTTGTGAACAATAATGACTAAAAAGGGGATTTTTTCGGTACAGGGATTAAAAAGGGGTTTTTTCCTATAGTAGAGGGACCAAAAAGGTATTTAACCATTTAGATTAGCACGGCACTCAGAACGATAATGGTTATACTTATGACATCTAAAGTATTCAATATTTGTCATTCCTATAGATTTGGATCTGTTATCTGCAGCTTGATAACTTCTGTTCTACCACCTCTTTTGATTTTCGGTGGCTGAACTTTTCTCCAGTCTGTCAGATCTCAGTCTGCCAGATCTTGATTTGCCTTTCCAGTTTCCTTTTCCTCAACCTAAAACCCCTGAATTAATTATGGTCTGTAGGGCTTATGTCTGTGAAATCTACACCGCTTGCTCTTGCTTGTCTTGGTGGTTTGTCTTCCGCTCATGAATTAATAATGAGTTATGCATCTCATCAAGGGAAAGAGCCTCAATATGATTTGACTCCTCAATTGAACAAACAACATAATTGAAATTTGTTGTCATGGATCAAAGGATTTTCTCAACTATGGAAACATCCTCTAGATTTTCACCATGGATGCTCATCTTGTTTTCAATTGCCATTGTCCTTGAAAAATAATCATCTACAGATTCACCAATTTGCATCTGCAGACTTTCAAATTATTCCCGCAAAACCTAGCGCTGCTGATGGTTTGCTCTTTCATTCCCTTGGTACTTCTTCATGGAATCCCAAATAGTCTTGGAAGTACTTATTAAGGATTGTTTCCAAGATAGCTCGATCTATGGCTTGGAATAAATAATTCTTAGCCTTGAGATCCTTCAACTTTTCGTTCTCAATTTCTGCCCTCTGTGTAGCATCTACACTTACCGTTGGTTCTGGAGCTCTAGCTTCAACAACTGTCCAATACTCTTTAGATCGGAGAAAATTCTCCATCAACATACTCCAATGGTCATAGTGAAGACCATCAAAACCAAGGATTGAGGGCTAGACATAATTTTCAGAAGCCATGGAATTTGTCGAGAATAGGCTCTGATACTAAATGTTAAAAAGTTAAGAATTCCCGAGAAGAAAAAGGTGGATTGAAAATCCAAATCTCATTAAACTGAAAATAAACTAGCCTTTAAACAGGCTTTAAAAGATAACTTTATTTAAAAAGATAACTAACTAATCTTATCTAATCTAATTTAAATTATAACAACCTAAAACAAATAAATAACTTAAACTTCCTAAATCATAGAGATAATGGCTAAATAATAGGATCTAATTTCCAACAATACTGACATTAGGTACATCTAATTCTTAAAAGGTGAATACAAGTTCACAAATGATAAATTATATGCACTAAGAAAGAAGAAAAAAGAAAAAAATAAAATAAAAACTTGGCAACTGAGTAACATAATTGAATTTGATAGTGATTGATACATATTTTGGTTCAATAAAATACATATTATATTTATTAAAAATTTATTATTCTTTGATATAAAATTAAAGATAGACAAATTTAAAAATATTGTCATACATATAAATATAGAAACTAACTATATTGGCTGTACTTATATTATGTTTTAAGAGGTAAATTAAAATGAGTAGCAAAAAACATGTTGAATCTAATGTGAATCAATTATTTTTCAATTGAATTAACAAGATGCTTTAGGCTACAAACATTTTTTACAGAATAACCCAAAATTTTAGGTGTTCTTTTAGCTTCAAAAATCATTTTTTTATGAGAACTAAACTTTCATTTATATATGAAAACCATAAGAGTTACAAAATCAATTCAAATGGGGTAATATGCTAGAGATATTACACTCATAAAATGCATGAAAAATACAGAACCAAATAATCTAATAGCTACATAAATATTGTAGCCAGACTCTAGTTCAAGATTTAGCAATTTGTATTTTGACATAATTCATCTAAATAAAAGATAAATTGGTTGGATAAAAAAAATTTAGTTAAGGATCCAATCCCCAACCACGCTCTCAACAATAGAAACAAGTGCAACAACACTGATCTAAGGTCTAATTAATATTGCATTTAAGTTTCCATCCTCCTCCAACAAAAATGAATTCCGATAAAAAGTATTGAAAATGTTAAGGTAGAAACTCTTAGAAACCTCCACAAGAGAGGGAAAAACCCTCATAAAAGAGAACAGAACTCTCACCTTTAACCATCTACCCTAACCATTGAGGGAGAGAGAGATAGCAATGGTTAAGGGGTTAGCTTCAAACTCTTAATTCACAATTCAAGAGTTGCTTTGGTGAGTGGAAGGGAATTTAGATCCCGCGGTTGGAGAAAGTTGATTTTCTCATCATCTAACTTGTAGTAAATAGGGGCCTTTGCTTGTCAGTAATAGAGTAACCCATAGAGCTTGCAAAGAGACTTCCTAGCTAGTGATGTTTAATTGGTGGTCTTTATACTTGGTAAACATATTGTTGCCCCTATAGCAATTAGTCCTATAATCACTAGTACTAAATAGCTTCTTGTTTATCATTGAATGGTTCTTTATGAGTGTTTATCGCATTGTATTAGATGTTATAGGTATAACTCTCGTTGTCCAATTGAGTTACTATTTAGGATTATAATTGATTGTAATATCTATTTCTTTATTTATTAATAAAATCACATTATTTAATTATTATAAAAAGCATTTAGGAATGGTTTTTACTTATTACTCTTCAAAGTTGGTAGTTCACACCACGAAAAAAAAAAAAAAAGAATACATGTTTAAGGTCAATGGTTATGTCCGCACAAATAATTGTTAGGGCTACTCAAAAGCATGATAAGTGTGTTTGGTTTGACTATTAAGAGCAATTGATAGCTATAAATGTTAATTGATATTTGATAGAATAACTAATATTTATTATTTAACTATTTGAAATCAGGTTCTAAACTAATATTTTCAAGAACCTTAACTAACTATACACTAATAAGATTAAACAAATTAAATAAATCATAATATTTTGTGTAACCTTAACAATTATTTGTGTCCATGGCCATATTTTAGAGTCTTGTTCTTTGTTATCCATATCCAAGTCGTAAGTCAAGATTTTTGCTCTTTGCTGTCCACGTCAATGCTGTAAGTCAAGGTCTTTGCCATCTATAATACAAGCAATGTTTCCTTAGGTATTAAAATGAGAGGTCATAATTTGCAGGCATAACCCCCAAATCTACCTTTACAAAAGATCGGCAAGGATAGATCTACCCCTCACAAAAATTGAGGGACAAATTGTCCCTCCAAATCATAAATCAAAACAAATCACTCATTTTTTAACATTTTCCATTAAAAAATGCTGACGTAACAAACAAAATTCTAACGTTTTTCGTTAAAAAATAGGTGATTTGTTTTGATTTATGATTTAGAGGGGCAATTTGTCCCTCCATTTTTGTGAGGGGTAGATCTATTTCTATCAATCTTTTTAAAGGGTGGATTTAGAGGTTTTACCACAGTTTTTTAATTTGACTTTTAATTGCATATTTTATAACAATTAATAAAACAAAGATCACCATAATATTAAAAAATTTATTTTTAATTAATAATTATAAAATATATAACTCACTTACTTTTTTGTTACAATAAACTGTCAAAATATGAGTAGTTAAAATAAAAAAAATTTTAGAACAATTTATGGTAGTGTTTCCTCAAAAAATTCTCAAGTGGCTTTGCACGTACGGAATCTGGATGCAAGCGTGCCACTTACTTTTCTAAAAAGCAAGAAAAAAAGATTTTCCCAACGACCCTCTCCTTCCACGTGATTAACCTCCATTAAGATGGCTGGAAGAATGTTGATTTAAGACTGAGTTTTGCGCCCTTCAAACGATTTGCAAGAGGGAGGGATGCCTTCCTGTAGAATGGGTTGCTAATTTGCCTTGGACAATCTCAATGACTTTACCACTACCGTGAATTTAAGTTAATAGATCCAAAATGAACTGAATGAAATGCAAATTAAAATAAACTTGATGTTTATAGCATGAAAGGAAATTAGAGAAGCAATTACACAAACTAATTTGGGTACTTGAATGCTGAAAATAACTTAAATCTACTGGAATCTATGCTAAAACTGAAATATGAAAGCTAAGATGAGCAATCACTACAAAACTAAAGAATTGAAAAATTGATGAGTTTCTGTGTAGGGTTAGCCGTGTGTTGAAAAAATTCAGAAAGCTTCTATTTGTATCCTTCCTGCAAACTGTTTCCTAGCTGATCAAATCATGGATAACTTCCTTCCAAATTCTAGGGATTTCTGTTCCTTTAAAATTCAAGCTGCAATAACTAGATAACCTTTATCCTCTCAACCAACTTTACAGATATGCATCCCTTCAGTAGATTTGATCTCACCTTATCCATTGACATGTGGCATTACTAAAAAAAATGCAATTTATGGTGTAAACAGGTAGTTCCTTCATTGTAGTCTCAGACTGAAAGGAAAAATAAAAACTTTTATAATTTATAGTTTGATTATGGATTAGCTCTTAGCACAACCAGACAAACCCTAAAAATATTTGTTTTTTAATCTTTATGCATGTAATGAGTGAGGTTTCAAAGTTTCTTATGAGTGTCTCCCACATTGGTTCTACT